TATATTTGTATACTTTTACCATCTAATCAATCTCAGCATGTGTTAATTTTGTGTCTCTAAACGTTTGTATCACTAAGGTTAATTTATGCCTACGTCTTTCTTTGGCCTGCGCTCTGGAAGTGATCTGTTAATTCTGCTGAACTTTAATTAAAACTGAAACTAAAACTGAAACTAAACTATATAAAAACTAAATAAAAAAATGCGTTCACAAAATAAAAACTAAACTAAAACTAACAAAAATATGAATGAAACTAATAAAAACTAAACTGAATTTTATAGCAAATTTGAAAACGATATTAAAATAAAACTAATTTAAAAATTCAAAACTATATTAACCTTGCTGCTGAGTTGGAAAGCTGATTCTTTGTGAGTGTGTGAGGGAATTTGATGGGATATTAAACGAGGAACAAGGAGAAGATTAAACATTAAACAAGCCCACCGAGTCAATTAAAATTGTACTTTTGTTTTGTAGTTTTTACCAGCAGGGGTATATTAAAATATTATTAAAGGGAATAGTTCGCCCAAAAATAAATATTCTGTCATAATTTGTTCACCCTCATGTCGTTCCAAACCTGTATTGACTTAATTTCCCCTGCAGAACACAAAAAGAGATTTTGCTAAATGTTTTATTGTTTTGTTTGTTTGTTTGTTTTTTCATGAAGTGAAAGTTGTTTTAGACCCCATTAACTTTGACTGTATAGCCAAAACAGTTGAAATATTCTTCAAAATATCTTCTTTTATATGATGTTTTATTAACAAAGGTCGGGAGGATCACATTAAAAAAATTAACCTAAATAACATGAGAGGAGCACATTCAGTAATCAACTCAATTAACAAGTGAAGCATGGTGGTGGCAGCATCATGCTGTGGGGGTGTTTTTCAGCTGCAGGGACAGGACGACTGGTTGCAATCGAGGGAAAGATGAATGCGGCCAAGTACAGGGATATCCTGGGCGAAAACCTTCTCCAGAGTGCTCAGGACCTCAGACTGGAACTAAGGTTTACCTTCCAACAAGACAATGACCCTAAGCACACAGTTAAAATAACGAAGGAGTGGCTTCACAACAACTCTGTTACTGTTCTTGAATGGCCCAGCCAGATCCCTGACTTAAACCCAATTGAGCATCTCTGGAGAGACCTAAAAATGGCTGTCCACCAACGTTTACCGTCCAACCTGACAGAACTGGAGAGGATTTGCAAGGAGGAATGGCAGAGGATCCCCAAATCCATGTGTGAAAAACTTGTTGCATCTTTCCCAAAAAGACTCATGGCTGTATTAGATCAAATGGGTGCTTCTACTAAATACTGAGCATTTTTCAGTTTTTCTTTTTTAATAAATCTGCAAAGATGTCAACAATTCTGTGTTTTTCTGTCAATATGGGGTGCTGTGTGTACATTAATGAGGAAAAAAAATTAACTTAAATGATTTTAGCAAATGGCTGCAATATAACAAAGAGTGAAAAATTTAAGGGGGTCTGAATACTTTCCGTACCCACTGTATATACACCTATATACACTATATACCTCACTTCTAACTATTCCTATCCCAACCTGGGATGGGGGGAGTACTCTGGGTTTGGGCCAAATTCCGAGCTCAGAGCCCTCCCCTCAGACAGCACGCCAAATACGCATAACCTTTACTCCATTTATTATATGTAAGTGTGAACTTGTGAAGTATATATTGTGTATATGTACCTCGGTAAAGATGGTGTTCAGCTCAATAGGTGAAGTTCAAAGATAAGATTCTAAGATAAGAATCATTTTAAAGATAAATCCCCTTGAGAGTAAGACCCTGCCTATGTTGTGTACCTCAGAGACCAATGCAATTTAATGAGCATAATACGAAGTTTCATTATCTGAAGATGACCCACAGTGGAGTTACCTCACAAGAGCACAACACGCCCACTCAAATAAATACACATGAACTTTATGGGTGTATGGGTATTTATGGACCTGGTTTAGTCTAGTATTGTTTCACAGAGAACCACTTGCCCATTTGCAAATGTTTCAGTCACACTCTTGTAACTACACCTTAAGTGTTAAGTCGCTCGCCGCTCTGATGTCCATTTTAATTGTACCCAGCAGCACATATGATACAAAAAACGTCGTCTTGAGTGGTCTCAATTTCCCTTTGAAAATAGTGTGTGGAAATTGCTATGAAATGTGGGAAATGGCATTTTAATATCCCGTCGCAAGTAAGCCCCGTAACCCAGTTTGATTAGCCTAGTTAATTTTTGTGTGTGTGTGTGAAGGAAGTTTTTTGTAAAAATAAATGGAGATCCAGTACAAGGAGTACAAGGTTTTACCCGAATAAATCAAATGACATTGACTTGATGAGCAAGAAATTATTTTTTCAGAGCATATAATGTCATTAGCATTATGATGGTTCTTATGTCTACAGATTAATAATTTTCCAGTGTTAATTTCTAGATTCAGAAAGTTAGCATAAGCATAGAGAGAAGATTGTTCATTACTCAAATTGCTTTTGTCAGTACTTTTTTTTTTAGGAGATATAGTAGAATATGAGACATTGAGGTCATTTGAACTGTAAAAAAAATTACAAAAATTGTTCTTTTTAAGTATGTTTTCACTGACAAAACTCTAGTTATTGCTCCACAGCATGCAATCCTTTCATAGGTTTTTCTGTCAGTGCCCTTGAAGAATTGACTTAAAAAAAAAACTGGCCACAGGAAGTGTGTGTGTATAAAAACAGCTTGTGCGTCTGTTAAGTTTTAACAACATTGTGTGTGTGTGTGTGTGTGTGCGTGCGTGCGTGCGTGCGTGTGTGTGTGTGTTCATGTCATGGTTGTTGTGGCCTACAACCAGTGTGGCATAATTACTCTCAAATGGCAAAAACATAAAAAAATATGCTGATAAATTACACTTGCATGTGAGGGAAAAATTATATTCCAATCCGTATACAAATAAATAAAAAAAACAAAGAGACGTGCTATAATTTCAGCACTTGGCTGTTGGGGGAAAAAAAAATAATGAGAGCATAATTTCAGAGAACTAATTATTTCTATTTGTCTTTTGTCACACTCTGTAATTCTGCTATATTAACACAGTCTGTGTTTATTAATTGCTTTTCCAGTGTTTTGAATCCATTCCAAGAATAAGCTTGACTGTTTTTCCTGGCTTCGTGCTTCTGGGAGCACATCTCGCCACTAATTCCCTGTGATACCGAACATAATATCTCCCCGGTATCTCTTCCCGATGCTCAGTGCTCGCCTCTCAATGTTTTCTGCAAGTTTACATGACCCTGTGAGGGGAGATAAAGTTCTTTGTTGCAAGATTGAACATCAAAACAGTTAAAGTGAAATTAAAATTAAATGAATGAATGTCACTGAAGCAAAAAAAGCAGTAATTAATGGTTCCCTTAATTGTCTTCATAAAGTATTTGCATGGGCATAATTTGCATAATTTGCATGTATTAATTAATCTTTCAAAGGAATTTTATGCTGAGAGAAGCCAAAAATTCCTTTGTTTTATTTAGCATCTAATGAAATATTTATGCTCTTTAATGAACTTTTCATCTTGATTTGAATATAAAAATGCCAAAGTTTTAACATATTTTAATGAGGGGGGTTCTTTCATAAAACAACATGGCAGTCATTCGATTTTTCCCACTCAAGAAACATTCCTGGCACTGTTTGCACAAGCTAGTTTAGCTACACTCCATTTGACCCAGAATTAATATGCTAATTTGTACATTTAAGATTAGCTCTTTGCTTGTTTTTGTTATCGTTGTTCTCAGGTTGTTTATATTTAACTGTTGTATTTTAATAGTTTAATTGTATATTTTCTACATTGTTTAGTATAAGAAATCTAGAGTTTGATTTGCTTAATTGTTGTTTGATATCAAAATACTGTATCAACCATACTAAACATCTCCAGCACTAAATAGCCTGCATTCTGATAAATTAAGGCACTCAATATCACATGCATTTATCGTGATCTGAATAAATTTGTACATACCATTTATATAATGGGGTTGATGCTGTGGATGATTTTTTTTAAATGCCCTATGAGCCTAAAGCCATATATTTGGTCATATTTCATATTTTTAAGATCACACTATTAACCCCTTTTATTATAAGAGGCCAGTGAGTGACAAATAACATTAGAGAAAACAAGAAGGCATATTGCAGCTCTATGCACAGGCTGCAATTAATCAATGTCCATTAGATTACTAGTTTCACATGAATCAATATGTATATATTTCAGAGTGAAATAAAATCACAATGCACATATTTAGCAATGTATAACTAACAGTAGAAGAAAAAATACTTTTTACTCAAAATCAATGGATCACACAATCAAAATGATTTCATATCTGTGGTATTGATGAGCAATACAAAAAAAGTCAGACTCAAAATATAAATCTTGTTTAAGCCAATTTTAACACAGAGCATCCTCGATTAGTCACCACTTTTGCTCATCAGAATTGAATTTGTTTAGTTGCCCTGCCAAAGAGAGGAAACACCTCTTAAATGCAGTGATGCAGCATTCCCGGACACAGAGGAAATGTTCTGGTAATAAACGTCAAACAAGCTCCTGAGCCATGCCTAAAAGATGCTTTTACCAGAAGAAGCAAAGAGAGCTGCCGCTCATTCAGGCATGCACTTGCCAATGAAGGTTCTCTGGAAACGGACAAAGCTCATTAGATCGTACATGTCGGAGAAGGCATTGCACAGTAACGGCTACTTTTTTTGCACTTAATGCCATTTATGCACAGAAAGTGTCATTTGTGATGTGCTTCGCATCATGAGTGCAATGTTATGTTCTTAAAATGTGACATACATTGATCCAGGGTTTACAATGGTGTAGTTTGTGCATTTGCATTGCATCACTGTTACTTGTCCATACTTGTCCTTACAACACTATTTATTCACTCATACACTTATTTATCTAACACACATACTCAGTCTACATTTCAATTTGCACATAATATACCTGTACATACAACTGTCTATTGTTCTATACCTGTACATACAATTGTCGATTTGTATATTTTTTATTCCTTATTTTACTTGTTCTATTTTTTTTAATTATTTTTTATTTGTATTTTTTATTATCTGTGTTTTTTTGTTCTGTCACTGTCATTCTGTTACACTGTGGAAGCTTCTGTCACGAAAACAAATTCCTCGTATGTGTAAACATACCTGGCAATAAAGCTCATTCTGATTCTGATTCTGATTTATGGCTCCATTCTGTTCAGTATACTTATTATTTTTCTCTCCCTTTTTTTATCGTTAGCAGATGGAAGACTTTTTCTGAAAACCACAGTGATGTACTAAGAGCATGGCGTTGAAGACTGGCGGCGTGTATCTTATGAAGATTCTCCAGAGTCCCTTTGCAGGGTAATTTAGTTACAGAAACAGGTCAATCGCTCATAGAGGTGCATCAAGATTTTATGCTTGGCCCGATGTGGAAGATGGATTGTGTCCGAATGTAGTATTAGGACTCTTTTTCTCACTGATATAAACGTTATATTATGCCAGATGTGGGATTGGATATGATAAGCTGGCGAAGGCGACAATTTGAGCACAGTAAAATGTATCGTTTGGTACACCTGGTGATAATATTTACAACAAATTCACAGCACTGAAGATTTTTTATACTGTATTTAAACCAGCGAGAAAGCTTTGAAAATTAAATCTGATTCAGAGGTTTTGTTTTGTATTAAAAAAGAGAAAAAAATAAACATAAATCCTTAATGTCATTACTATTTGCCAAGATGTTAAAGATCCAAACTTGGAGAAGAACCTCTGAAAATGTGAATTTGAATATATGTTGATCAACAGAAAAAACTAATAGTTGCTTTTAATGTTTTCTAAACTAGAAGAAAAAACAATCAAGTTTCATTTCTATCATTATTGTATATACAAGAACAGAAGATAGGTTAATTCACTCACTTTGGTATTTGTATATAATGTTAAAAGTTGGTATTGTGTATGCAGTAGATCTATTAGGAGAACAATACCAACGTTTATATTGAATTTATAGATTTGTTTTGTTTCTGAGCCATCATTCTTTCAATTCGCTGCCACTATGGTGAGGAAGCATGCAGGCATGTAAATGTGTTGTCCTTAATTCATGTTATTCAATAAATACTTAACTGTGCTGAACAAATGTACTTAGGGTTTATTCACTCACACCCAGTAAAAGTAGATGAACACTATTATCTTTTTAACAGCTATATTTTCAATTTGCAGTGACATGAATCTAATTCTTGTATGGCTTGAATCTCAAGTTTATGGAAAAGTTGTACAGATTGCCAAATGTTACCGATCATCATTACACTCAATTTGATGTATTACTTTTAGTGATAGGCCCCTTTAAATAATAAGTATTTAATGTATCATATTATAATTATTTATTATTCTGGTCAATACATGCAACAGGTTCCCACTGGAAAGTTGCAGACAAAATAGTGTTAGACCATTTCTTAATCTGAGATAAAAAGTGAAGATAACTTGATAAAAGTTGATATTTGATAAAAAATGCATATTGAATTTTTTTTCATCAAATTGCAGAATTGTAATTATATAAAAAAAATATGGATTGTTGGCAACACGTTGGCAACAAATACATTGATTCTTCTTTTTCTAATTCTTCTTCTTCTTCTTTTGATTATTTAAACAAAATTTTTAAGATTCTTCAGTTATTTGACAGAACTTTTAATAATCGCCAGCAAAGATTGCAAGCATCTACTCCAGTCCTTCACATACATAACAGATTTTTTTTTTCTTTATAAAGTAATCATGGCAATACCAAACTGTCACATTTAAATAAAGAGTGAAACAATTCAGCCGGATGAGTTAAATTACACTGTGCTAATTAATGGTAATATCGAATATATTAAATAATAGATTACAGGCTTTTATTGTACCAAGTAGATGATGATGATGGTGATGAGGCACTTATTGGATAATCAAGAAAAATATGTGTTGAAAGGATCCTTTATTAGATGGACGTATCTAATGTTACGGGGCAGCTATTTATACTATAATCATAGACATTATTTTGTCACACATTTGTCCTCAGTCTGTAACAATTCAAATGTTTATTGTGTTAAACTACATGTTAAAGTATCTTTTACCTCATCAACGAGGGCTTGCTTTTAACTTTCTTTTTTATGTGATGTAAACACTGTAGCAAGATTTATGGACATATTGTTCCTTATGTCTTTCTATGGCAGTAAAGGAAATGTCTAAATATTGAAAGAATGTCTTGTTTTAAAGTGCTTTTCCCTCTTTTCTGATCCTGTCTCCTGTAATGACACAGTATGTAAGAGAGTGTGTGTGTGAGTGTGTTTATGCACACATGCGCAGAAGTGTATCTGTGTGGAGTTGCACGAGTGTGTGTCTGTTTTCTATTCTATGGTGTCATATATGGTAATAAAATATTTGTGATTCAAAGATTATTAGACTAAGCTCTTTTGCGAATGAATCACTGTCATTATAAACAACTTGAGAGAGTTTATGGGTGTTGACTTTACCATCACATGTGAATCTATGTAATTTTACCATGGTTCATCCAAAACGAATCCTGCGAGTGTATTCTAATAAAGAGACTGAAAATTTTCAGCCGCAAAACAAATGTCACGTATCATATTACATAAGCGGCGTGCTTATATTTTAATCTGAAGGGCAATCAAAATTGTTCATGGTTGAGTTGTAAAACATGTGTTACTGAGCAATGACAATATCTAGCAGAATAAAACCACTGATGCTTAGTACAGTGAGCTCACGGCTCTACACAACACATGACTGAGAAATAATGCGTTTCATTCATTCCAGCTGAATGAGCACAATATTCCAGGGAAAAGCCACATATTCAAAATGTGTTTGAAGAAAGAAGGAAACAAGAAGAAACTTCTCTTCATTCAAGTTAATTACTTATTGATAATATGTTAGGATTGAGACAACCAAATCAGGGTCATTCCTGTTATGCAGTTCATTTTTATGCTTTCATTATATATAGTACTGGATTAATAAAATCACAGTTCGTGCATGGGTGTGGGTTTTACTTTTATGCATGTATGTATGTATGTATTTATTTTCAATGAAAGCTCCTGGCTGCTTCATAGATAAAATCCTATTAATTAAAAAATAAATAAAAGTGTTTATTAATTTTTACTTTATATAATGAAAATGTGTTCTTGGTAATATTGTTTTAAATGGCATTCATTTTATAAATGATTTGCCCTCTTTCTGGTTTAAAAAAACACATGCTCCTTAATGACATCATCCTTCAGGAAGAATTGATGGATTTGATAAATTATGTCCTAATTTTATTTTTGTCTCAATTTAAAATCAGTTATGATCATAAACTCACATATTATCAATATATAAGTAAAAACAAAATCAAGATTGCCTTCTGCTTATTGCTTGTTTTAAAACTGATGCACTTTACACTGTTTTTGAGCTAAAGTGAACTAACATTGAACTGACTTGAGCTAAATAAGGAAACTATTGTTTTTCAAGAGTTTCTTTGGAGCAAAATCTAAATTGTCTCCATAATTGAGTTTCCATGATTGGTTCCGCTATTTTCCTGTTTATTACTGTGAAGCTGCTTTGAAACCATCTGTACTGTATAAAGCGCTAAAGAAATAAAGGTGATTTGATTTGACCTTCAAGCTAACACCCTCACATAAACTCGCTCTCAATCCCCTACAGAGCAATGGCTCCTTATTTCCATTGTTAATTATCCTGTTTATTTTTTGTCATTTTTTAAACTATTCAAGTCATAATTAAGAAGTGCCAGAAAAAATGTTTAATACACATTTTTATGGAAAGACTTCTTTATGGCACAAACAATAAGTCTACAACTTGCAGAGCTCAAAAGGTAATGCATAACAGAAATGACCCATGAGGGCACCTAACTGTTTGGCTCAGGAAACTGTCTTCGAAGCAATGCAGCTAATTGATATTAGTGTTATTTCAAATTTATAAAAGCTTAGGCAGAATTGACACTGAATGACAATTCCCTGTCGTAAGCAATTCTGATGGAAATGTGTTGACAGCACGGCCGTGCACAGGTCCATTTTGCATGCTTTTGAAAGTGTGGCTGTAACAGAGAGGTTTCGAGATTAATAATTGACTGATCGCTGCATTATTCAACACAGCATTGTAAAAATTCAAGGTCTGGAACGTTTCATGTTTTTCTTCTTTATTGAAAATGAGGTTAAAGTTTCTATCAACCTTGGAAAAACTACATATAAAGTGGCAATCAATGGTGACTGTAATTCAAGTTTGGCCCTTTCGCGAGCATAAAAGGTTTCCGTCACTCACTGGTGAAATTTGAACTGTTAGAGTTTGAGGCAGCTAAGAAGCCACAAATGTGCTGTCTATCAAATTGTTGATTTTTTTTCTTGTCTGCCTGCTTTCTTTAGTGTATTTTAGTAGACATAGATCAGTATTGTAGCCCCAGTGGTCGATCAAGACTGTCTTTGGCTGAGAATATGATGTATTTCCTCTCCCTCAGACAGAAATATACAGTAGTTATGAGCTGTTTGATGTCTTGTTCTGCCCCAGCTATTTAAGCGAGATTCACCCCTCCAGCTAGATGTTTCATATCACTGCACATATTGTAATAAATTCATTTCAGTTAGAACATGACTTTGAGGCACAAAGACCAAAATATCCACGGTGCTGTAATCACGTCCCGTGTCGAGCACATTTATAACGAGCGTTGCTCATTCCAAACATGGAGTATGTCAATGTCATCACTTTGGAGTGTGTGTTTTTCTTGTGTCAAGTCTGCATATTTAAGACATCCTCCAGGTGATTATTACACACAATCTTTTGATCGCTAATATCACCATACCCAAGATGATAACGTCGGTCAATCTGTAAATGACACAGTGCAATTTCTTTTTCGAAGGGTAACTTGACCTGTCAGCTGATATAGCTTTCATTTGAGTAACTTACATTTTAGCAGAGGCGGACAGTAACTAAGTACATTTACTTGAGTATTGTACTTAAGTACACTTTTTGAGTATTGGTACTTTAATTGAGTATTATTTTTTCTTTTAAGCAGGTTTGATTTTTTTTTCTTCCTTATCAGTCTGTATTTACAGCAGTTTCACTGTCCACTCTGTTCAAATGTGGATGAATGGCTACACATAGATGTGTCCAGAGCTGTGTGAGATCACTACCATACTGCGGGTGGGTAGGGGTGTTAATTTTTTTTCCCCATAGGTTTTTAACATTCTAAAAGTTCTTTATTCCAAATATATTACAAGCTAGTCAGTGTATTCAGTAGGTGTAATGTATTGTAAGTTGCTTCAGAGGTATTGCAAGTATTACGTACAACAATAAAAAATATGTGCATTGACATAAAAAAGGAAATTTACTTTTGGTACTTAAGTACTTTTAAAAGCAAGTACTTCGGTACTTTTACTTAAGTAAAAATCTGTCTTTACAACTTTTACTTGTAATGGAGTAATATTTGACAAGCAGTATCTGTACTTTCACTCAAGTAATGGAGTTGAGTACTTTGTCCGCCTCTGCATTTTAGATACAATATTGAGTAGATAATTTGATAGAGATAATTTGTCTGTTGTCTTGCTGCACCAACAGGACAGCCGGTTCTGTCCAAAACATAGTGGACGTTATCAAATGCACTCAATATATCCCACAATGCACCGCAATAAGGAGTGTACAACCGATGTACACTTATGTCTAAGCACTCAATGGCTAGACTCTAGAGAATACCCACAATGCATTGTGAGGGTCGTGCCTGCAGCTGAATCATCCATCCATCCATTTTCCAAACTGCTTGTATAATGTGGGTACAGCATAATATCATACAGGTAGGCCTATACATTTCTTTTTAATTGATTATTAAATGCTTTAATTAAGGTCTGATTCGAAGAATCACTTGTTGCTGGTTATTATTAAACTGGTTTAATAATATAACAAGCAGAAAGAGTCACTGAAAAGGAGTGATACAGTGAAACAAGGAAAAATCTTAGTGCAGTTTGTCTGTCATTGTTCTTGGAACACCACTCAGCCAATCAACTTTGAGGACTGAAACTAGAATTATAATATTAATGACCTCCAGGGCCTCGAGTTTTCAAGCACAGAGGAACCCTGATGTACAAGTTGCATTAATGGCCAAATTAATACACCAACTAGTATAATACATTAACTAGGCTAACTCGTATTTATTTCATCTGGGTAACAAAAAAGAAGATGGCACTAATTCTCTCTAAAAAATGTTGGGTTGTTTCAACCCAACTTTGGGTCAAATATGGACTAGCCCAACTTTTGGGTTAAACATTTATTGTCAAAATTTAACCCAAACGGTTGGATTAGTCCATATTTGACCCAAAGTTGGGTTTAAACAACCAAGCATTTTTTAGAGTGTAGTTTGAACACACTGCACATTTTTATCTAAATACCAGTTATAAGTTCTTAGTTTGTTGATTTTTTTATTTTATTTTATTGTTGACAGTCTTTTTCC